GTATCCACTTCGTCGCTTTTCTATATGTTTTGCTGTAGTTCGGTTTTTGTTGTTGTTGACCAGAGGATCGTCAGAAAGAGTTATGAATTTAAATTAAATATTTTAATTTAGTAAATTATGATATTGTATTATTATATTTTAAAATTACTAGCATTTATAAGATAAATTTACCTTTTCAGATTTATCGGTAATATTTTCATCTGATTCAAGTTCTTTTAAATCTTTGTTTTCATCGGAGCTAGAAATTTCTTCGTCGGAAAGTGGCAATGAAAATGCTTTACCATTTTCTAAAATACGCTAATATATTTGAAATAATTCGATTTTATTAAAATAATAATAATAATAATAATAATCATAATAATAATAATAATAATAATAATAATAATAATACAAAAATTGTTTAACCACTCTTTCCGCTGATCTCTAATTTCGTAAACAAAACAAAAAATTCGAAAACTTTATAGTATAGTCTTCATTAAAGCAATATTAAATTTAACTGTATTAAGTTTAATACTGTTGGAAAACAAAAGCCACAAGTAGCTGACAACAGTCTAGTTACTAATTAATAATTAATAGCCCTAGTAAAGAGCAAACAAAGTTTTTTTTTGTTATTCTCGACCAGTACATACTGATCAACAGAGGCCTACCCCCAAACATAATTGCCCTGTTCTTCTTAAGGTACCAAAGATATTAAGTTATCTAGGAGGCTATAGAATTTGTCCTCCCTTTAAATTTTATTATAAACAAGATTTTAGTTTTCTAGTAATAAACTTCTTATTTTTATACATTAATTTTTACAAAATTTCTTCGAAAAATTTTTTGGAGAATCGGTGTTGACCCTGAAAATTGGAGATCAAATGTGTGACTATCTGTCAATAACAAACAATGACAAAACAAGCAAGACACATTCCCTTTTTAGGAATCAACATCATTATAGCAGTAAACAACAAACATGTAGTCTAAGTAAATAACAAATCAAGGAAACTGTGCATGTGTAAAGTAAACAAACATAAATCAAGAACATGCACATGCAAAATTAAATAAACATATACAGTCAGACCCCCCCTAAATGCACCCCCTCTAAATGCAACACCTCTCTAAATGCACGTCTTCTTTTGGGCCCAACTAATATTACAT